ACATAATAACAGTGAGCAAGCATTGCAATCCCCTTCGCGTCAACAGTGAAACCTTCTCAATGACGGCAATGTAGGATGTGTCGTGGGCGTAGGTACTCTGTGACAGGAACTGATAACAACTGATAAGAACTGATAAGGGCCTTAGAGAGCAAAAGGGTATTTATGATCAAATACTGACTCCTCAAAATGTTTCATTCAATAATACGGGTAAATGCAGTAGTAGCGCCCGATCAAAGACATATCACCATAACGAAATGAGAATATTGTTCATTTCTTCTATTGAACTGCGACCGTTACGCAGTAAGCTTTATGACACAAGATAGTACCACGATTCCTTTTTGTTTTGTGACATATCATTTGTGACTAAACCCATCTAACAGCTAATTATTTGGGATTCCCAATTAATGAAAAATTGATAGAAAATGTTTCATTGATAGCGACATCTGTGATAGGCGTTATTATCTATTTCTGGGTACCATTCAAGACAGTGGTTGTCAATCAGTTAAGCAATCGATGTAATGTTAAGCCATTCGAGACGAAGAGCAGTGAATCGAGACTTCTAATTAGTATATAATCAATTATAATACAGAAAAATCGCTCCCAATTTGGAGCTAATACTGAGTGTTAGAGCTTTCGAAGAAAAATGAGAATCCGAAGTTTTATTTACGCATAGCAAATTCCTTACAAGAAAGAGGAGCGCCCGGCGAAGCCGGGCGACCATACCCAGATTCTGCCTTCATCTTAAAGCCGGTTCGCGATGACTTTCGGGTAGCGATTCACCTTTTATTCGTCACGCAGATTTGACATTCGAACAGCAAATTGGCTGGATTAAAACTCGTAAATGTTCAACAGGGGCAGACAATTTGATCTCCATGTGGTAAAAGAGCGAGGAAGAGGCAGACGAATATGTTATGTGTGTACCCATGGTTAGTGTTCTAACAATAGGAGCCCCATTGAAGCTTAACGAGAATCCCGGGAGAAACCTGGAGAGTAGGTGATTACTTTCCGCACAACCTTATACTTCGATCGGAAACGTTTGGGTGTATCAGGCTTATCACCTTCGTGTTTTCAAGGTAACTCTTGAGGTAGCCTCTACCACAGCATATTTGGGTGGCAATAGGCTTCAGAACAGATTCGCTGTCCTCTGCCTAGATGTTGTATTGTACTATATATTTCATGGTAAATATACAGTACCGTTCAAAAAGAAATCACCTTGAACCTTTTCTGCCATAACTCATCTCAAACTCGATCTTTTTACCTGATTTTTAATGGCACTTTTTTCAAACATCACCGACCCTCCTTCGATGCAGAATTGGCGGTAGCCCACTTCCGGCAAAGTAGGTGGAATTTTTCCAAAAAACCGAAAGAGGCATGTTCTTTAGGTGAATTTCATTGTGTTTTTCGAGTCTAAAATTATTGGTGATTCTTCGATTCTGTTAGCTGATCGCTCTCTGTGAAGAAAAAGAACTCTGGCTCCCGCTTTCTGACCGTGAAGCAGCTCTCCGACATTGCCACGGGCAGTAAGCAGGGATTGACCCATGCTCAACATACAAGGCTGTTTGTTGTATGTCGTATGTGTATGCATGTATGTTGAATGTCTACGATTACGAAGGCTATCAGAGGAATTGAGTCTCTCACAGGCCCATCGAAACGAGCCAGCTTGGGAAGGTTACGGACTGCCGCACCTGAGGACGATAGGAAGATCATTTGTGCGTCAACTCAAGATTCCAGACGAGCATCTTCCGATATAATGGGCGAAATATCGACGTCGGAGAGGCTGCCATGTAGAGGTACCATCAACAGACGCCTTTGGGTTGCTGGAATATATGGAGGAAGACTTGTCAAAAAGTATCTGGATGTCTGAAAAAACGGACGAGCTCGACTTAAATGGGCACGTGTGCACCTTCACTGGACCTTCAACCAATGACGCGAAGTCATCTAGAACGACTAGTCAAAGATTATTTTGCTTGGTTCCCTTGGGTTCCGTTCGTAGACGACCTTTTAAAACACAAGTTCCCACCTCAAGCACCATTTGACAAGTCTCAGACATGGTGCCAGCTCAGTATTGGTTTGGGGATGGTCTCCATGTCTAGGCATGGGGTCCATGCACCATATTCTCACCCCTACGGCCCAGCAGATGTACGTAGACATTTTGGAAAAATCCATCTACTTTTTCCCGTCCTGTGCATAGAAGATAATTTACTTTCCAGTGAGATAACAACCCCGGACACAGATCTAGAAGGGGCGCGCGAGTGGCTGACTAAACGGGAAATCCGATGATTTGACTCACGCAGCCAGTCCCCTGACCTAAGCATGAATGGACCCTCAAGGTAAGAACTCAAGAAAAGGATAGTCGATAAAACCGTCACAAATGCTGCTCAGAAGTTTGGCGTATTTGAAGAAGAATGGAAGGAAATCGATGAGTGCCTGGTCGACAAGTTGGTCGAATCGATGCCGCGCAGATGCCAGGCCGTCATCGATGCCAACGGCTTCACTACACAGTATTAGACTAGTAGTTAATTGGGTTTTAATAATGATAATGTTCACGTCAAGTGAATTATTTCAAATTATTGAAACTGATGTTATTTTGCCCTGTTCAAGAGGAATGTAAAAAGTGGCCTTGTAAACGAAATAAAAAAGAGTTTCGTGAGTTCTGTGGTGGAGACATCGAATATCATTACTGTTGACAACATATCGATAAATTAGTCAGAAACGTTGAGTTCGAGATGAGTTATGGCAAAAAAGTTGGTGGTGATTTCTTTTTGAACGGTGCTGTAGATCAGGTCGTTGAGGGTGGTCAATGTTCCAATCTTTGAATCGGACCGCCCGTATCGATTCCGCACCACCCAACCGTACCGCCCTTGCTCCCCCATCTTTTGTTTTTTCTATTTTTCAATTTTTTATTTGAAGATTTGATATCATGCAAGTGTATGTACACT